ATATATTATTTTTTGTATTCATCGATCTTATATTAACTTAATTAGTATAAAATAACTAGAAATCATCTCAGCTTTGATTTTTTGTGTGATCGAGTTACATAAATCAATCCCATAAATTTTACACCTAAAGTGTTAGTCTGATCATGTTATATACTTAACTTATTTGAATAGCTAATAGGATGGTGTAATATCTCACCCGTATACCTTAGGTCGAGCTCAGAATTATAACTAAGACATTATAGTATGTATGTATTATAACTAAGACACTATAGCTTGATATGTCTCCTTATTTACTGCACTATCTCAATCTCACCCAATGCTTTTCTTTAAGGGTTCATGTCACTGTCAACTTGATTAAGTACTGCTAAACTTGATTATCACCCACTTCAAGGGTAAAAGAATTAAAGGAAAATAAAAATCCTCACCGACTTCAAGAATCCTTTCTTAAGGTATCAATTTGTACTTAATGATAGAGGTCGTAAAAAAAAATATTATTTTTATTTTCTAAATATCAATCTCTAAATAACAATGCCCACCTTCTTACGAAGAATAAGAAATCTCTTATTGTCGTAATCTCATGGATTATTCTATTTCTTTAATAATCTAAATTTTTTTGAGTATTTTAACTTGTGGTATGAAAAAGAATCTTCAAAAAGTATCCAAACTTGAGAATATTTTAACATATAGTACCAACAAGAATCTTCAAAAGTATCTAAACTTGAATATATTATGAAAAAGAGTGAGAAAAACGAATAATTTAATTAAGATTTAGATCACAAAACAAAACTAAAAGTAAGTAGAGAGGAGAGAGAGACAATATAAAAAGAAGTACATGGCAAGATTTCTCATAAGAGCCAATGGATGCTTCCATTCATACCTAAGTCAAATTAGTGGTTCAAACTTGCATTTATATTCTTCTTTTAATGATAAAAGATAGTAATTCTTGTACTTTGAAGGACAAGAATTTTTGTATAAGCTTGTACGGCCCTAATTATATTTACATGCAAGTTGGTTGCATGTCATTCATTACAAACAACATGGTAAAGAAGGGCTTTGAGAAAAGATGCCTTCGTTCTTTTCTTTATGTAAACTCATGGTCAAGGAGATAAAAGACTTAAAAAAGAAGACTCTTAAATGGATTAGTATTTTCTTCCCAACAAATAAAACCTAAATTACTTTTAAGAATTTTACATAAAACATCTCATGCTCTTCAGGTTAGTATTGACTCCATATAATAAATATACATTTGCTAGTTGTCCTTTCTAGTATATTTTCAATTAATCCCTCTACTTACTATGAGATAAGAAGCTTGTAAATTCTATTTCAAAACTATGCCCTAAGAGCATACTAATACATAGCTAACGGGGGCATACAACTCCTTGTCATTCGTTAAGAGAGGAGAAGATAAATCTAATTCTTTTTGTAAATCGATAATACTATAGATGTTCAATCCGAGGACGATGTACTTATAGATTAGATAAAGACTTTCTAAGCAACATTGAAATATACGCATCGTAAATTTAGAGATCTATTATTATTTGATTTTAAAATTTGATATTAAAATTCTTTCATAAAATAATAACATATTATGATTTTCATACTTACCGTCTTTCTAGTATATCTTCAATTAATCCTTTACTTATTGTAAGATAAAAAAATTATAAATTCTATTTCAAAATTAGCATAGTAATTCATAGGTGACACCAAAAGGATACTTCATTCAATGATGTAAGCTTTTAAATAAAATAATAAGATTCGAAATGATATGAGGAGAGTGACTCAATTCAATTTATATACATGCAGTTTGAATAATTTGCTATCTTAAGAAAAAAAACACAAAGAGAAATATCTTTTAGTCATGAATCACTCACAACATTGGAGGCATAAGCAAATTTCAAATTTTGACTTGAATCATAGAAAAAACGAATCACTCTGAACAAAAATCGGATTCTTTTAGAACAATTAGAGACCTTTTTTGAGGCTTATAGTCAACTCAAGAGATTTAGCTAAATGTTGAATCATTCTTGTTAATTAGATTGAATGCAACCGCAAGCTACTCCCTGGAAAATTTGAGAGCCTCTCTTTGCTCAGGCAAGTAAGTACATATGTAAATAAACAGTATGTATTAAGAAATGAGAATATAAATGTGTAGATAATGTCTTATTCATAGGTTTATACTTTTGGAAGCAATTGCATTGACCAAAATTTAAAATGGTTGTCGAAGTGAAAGGTCATGTCAATTGATTCCAATTCCGTGTTAGGTGGAATCATCTACCACCAACATGTGTCGAATATATATATATATATATATATATATATTCTGAAATTTGAGAGACTGCTGCATGAACTCTATCCACTTTCTTCTGTAGATAAATTGTAGAAGATTTTGCATGACACTTCAATAATTTTCATATTCTTTGAGTCAGAATTTTGGTAGAACAAGAAATTCTTATAGAAAAAGAGTCCTCGAAAAAAAAAGCCTGATAATTAAGATTGATTCTTATTTAAATATCTAATATATCTTTAAGTCTTAATAGAGGAGAGCAAGATATGAGAAATATTTTTGGTATTCCTAAATATTATTCTAAGATATCTAGAGATGATAAGAGAAAATATATAAATTCTTTAGGACCGACTCAGAGGTCATGTATTAATATCACACGATAAAAATTTTAATTTTTTAAAAAATATAAATAAAAATTATCAAACCATGTTAATTTTAGATTCCTCAATTTCTTTTAATTTTGAAAACCCTTCTCTTTGTTCCCCCAACACATCCACTGTAAACATTTCATTTTTAAGTGAACACATCATCCTCTTGGTCAATCAGCAGTCCCCAGTTGCAGCTTGAGCACCCTTCTTAGCCCATGATATTTACGATCATACAATTTACCTCTTAATTAGCTGTTGTAGCATTTAAAGTGTCCAAAGAAGTGATCATCAAATAAGGGATGGTGCATGTTGGTCCTTTTCTTTACACAATCATACAATTTTCCACAGCTTGTGTCTCTCCAATGCCATTCTTACCACTCCTTTGACAAACAGAGAAAGAGACAAAACCTTGTAAAAAACATTATTCCAAAGCCTTCAACTCTTTTTTGTTTAACGTGGTTACCAAACTAGCCATGTACTTCCACAATGATTGAAGAAGAATTCCAAAGAGAGAGAGAGATAAAGAAAGAACAACTCTCCTACTATCCTCATCATTGGTTTTGAGAGACCAAACAGCTCATTCTTTGTGTCGGAGAAAGCAGGCCGACCGTGATTGGAACAGGCATCCCAGTGCCAGCAAATTATAATTAGAGGATAACTGCAGCTCGGGCACTGCATTTTTATGATGCATTAATGATAGTTTCTTTCATGAAGAAGAAACATGCGGCAAACCAACCTGGAAGAGAGAGAGAGAGAGAGAGACAGAGAAAGAAACAGTGGGTGCATCAAAAGGTTCTCTCATAGTTTAATCGCATGTGCTGCCACATCCTTTTATTGAATGCACAAACCATAAACAAATCGAGGTACGCGTCAGAAGTCCCTTTTAAGTATCAGTACATGTTCTTGTCCATCATCTCACCAGGTCAGAGAGTTTTTGAAGCACCGCGTAAGGGCTGCAGGCTTTGCGAGGCGAGGCAAAGGCACGGGGTGTAGGACCTGCGAGAAGCCAAAGATGAACTATAAGAAAGGCCTGTGGTCGCCTGACGAGGATCGAAGACTGAGAGACTACATCCTCAAGCATGGTCTCAGCTGCTGGAGTGCAGTTCCTGGCAGCGCCGGTAAACCCCTAGCAGCCGTGTCAACTGCTGCAACCTTTTCCCTGCTTGCATATGACAACTTGCTTGATCCATAGGCCTGCAACGAAATGGGAAGAGCTGCAGACTGAGGTGGATCAATTACCTGCGGCCAGGCTTGAAGCGTGGGAACTTTTCTCCAGAAGAGGAGGAAACCGTCATCAACCTTCAAGCCAAGTTGGGGAACAGGTGAGTGTTCGATGCATTTTGTCAGTGACATATGCTTCTGCCGATGTGAATCTGTTTAGATTAAGTAGGAGATTATCTGATGAAGAAAGGCAGTGAGTTACCAAAGGAAGCAAAAAAAAAGAAAAGAACAGTATGTTGCTAACAAAGAATTCCTCAGACCGAACCTTATGATGTTTTAACTCTTCCAGAACTGTTTGATTAGTTCTGAAACGAGTCCTTCTTTTCTTGGACTTGTTTCTGTAGTTCCTGCAGGAGACCCAAATGAAGTGCTCATGAGTTTGATCTTTCAGGTGGTCACAAATAGCAATGCATCTCCCTGGAAGAACTGATAATGAAGTCAAGAACTACTGGAATTCATATCTCAAAAAGAGAGTTACCAAGGCTCAGAATTCAGATCCTCATGCCTCTGCAACCTCCTCCTCGGACTGCACCAACCAAGGCCCGGTCAAACATGAAGAAGAACCAAATAGCCAGATGATTTCACCTGCAACGCATGTGGACATTGGAGGTTTCTCTCCAAAGTTGACTGCTTTAAATGGCTTGCCTAGGGTTCTGTTTGGAGATTGTCTCCAGGCTAATGGTGGTGATAGCTTGCATGACCGGGGGGAGGTGATGACCAACCCATGGCACAACACCAATCCACATGGAGAGGCGTCTGGGCAAGCTACTGATGGCACCACAAATGGATATGCTGGTGCTTGCATGAATGGGGAGATGCAAGCACAACCCGAAGCTTTGCTCCAGAATCAAGAAAATGGATTCTTTGATATCTTATTCCCTGGCTTGGTCTATGATGGAATGGACTTCTGTGACAGGGAGTTTTAGTTAGGGTTGGGAGGTAGGAGGAATACTTTGGTTTGTGTAACATCTGCAATAATTCCAATTTGTTCTTGTGCAGTCCCTGTTGTTCATTTTGTCACATACTGATGCAATGTATTGTCCACATACCAAAAGTCTGGCTAATTTTTTTTGGCAGAGTGTAAGGGATAATAATGTATGGTTCTATTTAATCATACCATATGGATTTAACAGAAAATAATTTTATCGTGATTTTTATATCATTTAACCTAAAAGTGATAAGGAATATAAAATTAGTTAGTCATCATTCGACACCCCAATGTCATAATAGGCCAATAGCTTTATATCTACGAAGATAGCTCGAGTCAATTATCGAGTTATCGAGTTATCTCCTCGGAAAAATATTTGTAAGAATATTTTTAGAAAATCGGATCGATTATGAATTGACTCCTTATCGAATATTCGTAGGAATATTCATAATAGATCAAAAGGTAGTTCGAGTCAATTACAAATCGACTCCCTTAAAGAATATTTACAACCGCAAAAAAGATTAAAAGATGATTATAAATTATCTTCCCTATAGGATCTTCATAAGATACTCTCCCCTTTGAGGTTAGTATAAAACTATATCATTGACTCCAAGAAAAAAAATATATATAACTATATATAAGTGTCGAAAAGATGGATTTGAAAAATCCTCCTTAATCTTGGTCTTTGTGTAAGAACAAGACTGAAGAGACTAGCTCTATTTTAGACGGCTCCTTGCATATGGATCAGGTCATACCGTTTTCATACCGATGTCAACAATATTTTTTTCTAATATAAAATACTTTTATCCTAATCGATAAATAAAAACATCCAAATAGAAATAATTACGAGGAATATCACGTTTTCATACGGATGTCAAAAATATTTTTTTTCCAACATAAAGTATTTTTATCCTAATCGATAAATAAAAACATCTAAATAAAAATAATTATGAGGAATATCACTTTTATATTTGGATGGGTCTGATGCGGATTAATATTCAAGTGTAAAGGTCATTGGAGTCCTTTGCTGTGTGGTCTCGCGACAGCTATAAATAGCTTTCCTACAGAGTTTGGACGCTCTCCTTTCTCTGTTCCCGCTCGCCAAGCCGGCAGCGATGAAAACCGGCCTTCTTCAAACCCCGAGACGAACTCCGAGCCCGGCGAGCCATGGGGGGCGACCCAAGGAAACCCCTCATCCTTCGAAGCACAACCCGAAGGTTCTCCCGAGAGCCTTAATCCCTTCCTTGCTCCCCGATCTCCTATGCCCGAGCTCCGACTTCTCCGCCGTTCCGGAGGATGTCCCTTTCGAATCCCACGATCTGATCGAGTCGTCGCCAGAGGCGAGTAGCACCGTCGAAGATCCAGCGGAGGTGAGTTCGAAACCCTAGTTGCTTTCGAAGATTTCATGCGCGCCGATCTCTCTCCTTCCCGTACGCAGAGGATCCCGGTCCCGCTATCTCCATTACCTGTAGCACTGGAGCCCGGATTACAAGAATCCATCGAGATCGACGTGCAGAAGGCAACGGAGGAGGAAAAGATAGCTGTGGTGGATCGGCTACGAGAGGCAATGCTCGAGGTGAGGAAGTCGACGGACGTGAGCGCTGGATCCAAGAAGCTTCTGGCTGCTCTGGTGGAGGTGGCGATGGGAGACACGGGCGGTGATCCGCGTGAGGAAAATGGACGTTGGGATTCGGCATTCTGGGCGAAGGTACGGATCGGGATCCTTGGTTTCCTGATTCTGCTGGTGGCGCTGATGGACCTCCTGGCGATCTCGACGGTCCCGATCGGTGGCGAAGGAAGGGATTTCTCCGGCCTGCCTCCTCCTACTTGAAGCGAATCTCTACCATATCATCCGTGGAAGTACTCTGTTGCTCGCGGAGGAGGCGACGGGTAGTGATGTTGCGATGGTAATGGAGTGGGCTCGATCCATTACGTTGACGTGACAGCTAATAAGGCTCGCTATTAGAACCAATTAATGACAGAATTAGGGGGTGAGTGCTTGCACTTACGTTTTGCTTTGCGAAGCCTGTAGATGGAGACGCATGACAAACACAACTGAGAATTAAGTGTTAAGGGTGAACTTGGATGGTTGGCGCTGGAACTCAATCAAAACATTGCTTTACTTGTCTTGAACTATTCTTAAAACCCTCTTTAGTGACATCTATCAATCGTCTACGTGAATCAGGAAAACAAATTAAAGCATGTCATTTCTCTTCTGAGTGGTGACAGCCACTTGAGAAGAGAATATGATGGGGTCAGGTTTCATTTGGATTTGGCCTTGTAACTAAATTTAGCTGAATGATTTATCTTTTGACCGAATAACTAAGTTTTGCATGCGCAGCATTAAAATTCATCATGTCAGAAGCATATTTAAGCCAACAATAACAGAGATTATAATTGTACTTTTAATATGAAATATTTTGGCTTATTTCCTTCATTTACATTTTTTATATTCATAGATCTTGATGGTACTTTTGACAAATAGATAAAAGTGATAGCTTTAATGATTTTCTTGCAACTTTTGTCAGATCCAAAAAAAAAAAAAGGCTCTCGATCTGATGACTGCCTATAATGAAACAACCAGAGAAATTGACGGCGTTGATCATTTGATATATTAGTAAAAACAAAGATAGCCGAACAAGATAACAATAAATCCTATTAATTTAATTAACAGAAAACTTTACAAAAAATCCTACCAACCATCGATGAAACTTTGACCTTTGAACAAAAAACGAAAACGTAACTTAGCACTAGAGTTCCTCCTATAGTCTACTCACGGTGACCAGCAGGGGCAGAAGCATCTTCAGTCTTTGATCTGTTGAATGATCTCTGGGTTTCGAGCACAGGCATATAAGCTGCGGTAGACTTCTGAAATAGATCGGTGGCCGGCTTTTCAGATTCCCGGGGGCTCACCAATGACTTCTCGACAGCATCGAATTTGGCAGTGGCCCAAGGGGCAGCACCCACATTTCCAGCTACACTTGGAGCATCAATGGTGAGTGATGAGATGGCATCTCGAGATGCATACCACGTATACCCACAGGCAATACACTCCAGCTGGTTTATTTTAGCATAAGAGATTAGAACACCACATTTCACAACTAGAATATGCATATAAAACAAGAGTTCAGGAACATGACTTATGCTTAGTATGATGGTGTCAGTGAACTCGGTAAACCTTTGGCACCCAAACCACACAGAGGTGAAGCTTATAGCTTATTACCATGAACTAAAATCCTCTTAACCCAAAAGTCTGCTGGGTGAACAATTTCTGACACTTCCCTCAGTGACATTTCAGTAGTTATATAACAAACTAGACATGCGGTTTTAAGGTGTTTTTCTGTGTCTTACTACTCAAAACACTTCTTCAGGATTTGCTTTCACAGTGTCTAACTACCGCAAACAGTTTCGCATCAATTACTTTACCACGGAGTTTACTATCATAACAAACTTAGATATTCCATCCCTTAAACATCAGCATCAAGTATATTGTAGACTCATCAAATGACATATTCTTATCATTCTTAACTCTAAAGAAACAAAGATCAACCAAAATATTTCATGCTGGCTATCAACCTATATAAGCAAATTATTCAGCAGCCTAAATTTTATTTTTGGATCAAAATGATTGCTGGTTCGCCTAGTTTACTTCGAGTACAAGTCAAAAGCAGAAAGAACAACCCAAGTAAAAACAGATACAATATATGCTCACTGACCTGATATCGATCCCCGTGACCACCAGCTTGAATAATGTCTGCAACACCTACTTTCTTCTCAGTGCATCTTGAACATCGTGCATCAGTCATCTGGTGGGGCAAATGAAGTAAGCACATATTGAACAAATAGAAGGAATGGTTCTTTTACCAACTCATGGCCCAAGGGCTACTTGTGGTACCTCAACTGTTAATAATAGCCCATAACCTCACATTAACTTGAATCGGAAATCTTTTATTATGCTATATACATATCTCTTCTGATATAGATCAATTTTGTATCAGCATCATCACTGATCACTTTGCATGCCAAAGAGATAGAAAGAGAGAGAATAAAGTTTTACCTGCAGCTGTTTTGACTCTTCAGGTTCTTTTGGTGCTTTTTCTTGTGCAGTCAAACCATCCTGAAATGCTCAAGAATCAGTCGGTTAACGAACTTCACATACATGGACCACAATAACAAGACCAACGGCTGGTGGGAAAAAGCAAGACAATTGACCAGCAAATATTTAATAGATATAAATTCTTCAATTTCACTAATGGACATTAAATTCACACTCCATGCTTTACAGATGCATCATGTTGATCTAATGGAACAATTTCATCATTCTTTGTTAAGAAAAATCACTAACGATTTTGCCTCGACAAAATTAATAATTGGTTGCCATATATATAAATGTTCAAACATGCAAACTTCACATGAAAAATGTATACATACTCAATCTAAGCCTTCATTGGCCTAAAAGGCACAAGTGATACTTAGAAATAGGAATATTGCATAGGCAGAAGAATATCAACTACCAAAGAAATCTAAAACAACTGTCTGGAATAGGAGACAGACCTTTAGCTCATTGGGAGACATGGATAAAACCGTCACAGGGTCCAACTCTTTATTCAGCAAACGTCTAGCTAATACAGCACCATTCTGCACAATCAGATTAGGATGTATAAACCTATTTCTCAAACCAAAGATTACAACAACCTATCAGAATTCACATTGCACAAAATCATAGAAAAAATAGAATTTAAAATTAAATAGCAGAAAAAAATCCAACATTATACATCATAAGCAAGAAAAAAAAAATACACACATAGAGAAAAAAAAAAGATAATGATACAAAATTAACTAAATAATACTCCTGACGAGTGATGTAAAGTATGTGTAATCAGGTCAAGTGCCTTCTTAACAATTTTCATCAATTCAAGAGTCTGAATATTGTTATACTTCAGTAACATGCACCAAGCTTGGATCATGACATCTTAATATAAAGTCCACCAAGAATGGGTTGACTTCTGCAAATCAACCTGAAACCATCTGAAATTATGAGAAGTTGCTTTAAATACATCAAATTTCAGTTTGGTACTAGCAAACACCAATTCTGATGAAATGTTTGGCAACTTCACTTCAAACAAGACCAAAAACTATGACCACCTCTAAATTGTACTCCCTTCTGGTTAATTCAATAGCAGGGTAATTCTTTCTTCAAACTCGCAGGTAAATTGATGTTCGGTGCATACAAAAATTAAAGGTCCAATTATAATTGTAAAGAAAATAAGTGACAAAATAGGAAGATGGGGGATATAGAAAAAGGATAAAAGCAGAAAGAAAAAAGTGACAGAGAGAAGAAAAGTAATGAAATAGAAGAAAGATTGAAATGTCTAATAGCTTTAGCTCTTCACAATTGGTCTCTCCTTAAATTATTCTAAGCAATTACAGATCAAGCAAAATTAAGTCTTGGATAAACAGGTACAGAATACTTCAATGTGACACCAAAAGAATAGAAAGGCAGGCAGAAATATGAAACTCCTATCTTCTCTCTCTTCTAATTCAAATGATATGCCTTCATCTTTTACTGTAGCCAGGAGTCCTAGGTCTTCTAAAATTTTTCAAAGCACTTTGAAGCTTTAAATGACTACATGAACTGGTAAATATATGGTCTGACATAAACTCATTATATGTGTCTAAAACCTCCTATTATAATGTAAGCATTCAACGCTAAAAATATCATAAACATTTGTCCAGGTTGACAAGAGTCACAAGACCATCAATATCATTCTAATGTAACTCAATGACTCGCTTCTGTAAGCTTTAAAGAAAAAAAGAAAATTGAAGGCAGCTGCAGGAACATACTTGAACCTGCTTCTTTGATGAATATGAATGATATTTCAAGATGAAAGAGGTAAGTCTAAATTTTGTAGTTCTAGAATGTTATATTATGAAAAAAAGAAAATTAAATTGGAAGCAAGTTATATAAGAGGAATGTCTAATGTTTTCTCATATTACCAATTCCCATGTCATGTTGCCTGATTCAGGCTCTTCCTTGATTTTTAATACTAAAACTAAAAAAATGGTTATGCAAGAGTTAAAAAGGAAATCAAATGAGGGTGTGCCTTTAATACAACACTAAGGTTTCTCCTTTAAAGCTTGGATGACTAGGGTATGACACACAAAAGCAATATCTTGATTTGTAAGAGAAAGAATGTGTTCATTGATTCTCACCCAAAATCTTGCATTTACGAGAGCATCATGCATTGTATTCGACCTTTTTTACACGAAGAAAATCAAATGTTGTATCACATCTAGCTTTTTTTATAAGATCAAGTTCACCTCTTTTCATATCAGCTAGCTATAAAAGGATGTAACAAAAAATGTAATTAAATGACAACTGTGACAGAACAGCAATTGCTCAAATACAATATGTAAATGTGTAATAATTTTCAAACTACATAGCATACTACTGTTTAGTACAGTATAACATAGAAGGTTCTAGAAATCAGCTAGTCCAAAATGAAACTAGCCATAGGTGCCCTAGGTCCCCTACAATACTGCGGGGACATGATCTGTTTTCAAGCTCAAGATATTGTTACGCATTTTTCTAATTATTTATTCTTTTCCATCTCATTTGCAACTGAAACCTCACTTCTGATTGCCCGGTCCAATTAATCTCAACCCCAAACTTCTAAATCTTAACAATTGAATAGCTCCAAGAAAAGCAACATAAACAAGGTACCATTACACAAAAACTTATTTGACAACTTAAAACCACTTCTACAAACTAAATGGACCCAAAGCAACAAAAACACATTATTTGTTATGCTATTATGCCATAGCATATCAGCTATGCAGCATATCTTCAATACTTTTGTAACATCAGGACAATAGTAAAAGCAACAGCAAAATAAGATGAGACTTTCTATACCTTCAGATTGAAATCTAACTGTCTCATTTTCTGATTATATTTCTGGAAATCCGAACCAAGGGTCTCGTGCGTAGCTCTCTCAAGAGCAGTTATAGCCTGGACAGCTGCATCTGGCCAACAAATGCTTTCACCAGCCTACAAAACAATAATTAGATAAGAGGAAAACTGAATTAGAAACTTTTTATTAGAAAACCTCGACAATATAATGTTATGCATGACTCTAGTTTCAGAAAAAAAATGGAAATAACTCAAAAATCCAGAAAAAAAGAACAGCAGCAATAACATCAACAAGCCATAATGTTTCAATTATTTTGGGTTGGCTAAATGCATCGTTTGCCAGCATTGCACAAAACAGCATAATGACAAAAATAGGAGATTACAATATTTGTGAAATATGTGATAAATCGAAATGTCATGTTATGTATTTGACAGAAAAGGTACCATTCCTATGTACAACCTTTACGACCAACAGCAAAGGATACATGACTACAATATATTCATATATTGGAGTTCTATACTACAGTAACAGTTCAACTGTTTATCATAAATCTCAAAAATTAATCTAACTGTTGATTATGATAACTTTAACATAATGTCATAATTGTAAAAAAAATCTCAAACTTAACTAAATATATAATATTACTAATGGAACCTTCCACAAAATCTATACATGATGATCAACCATATATAAAAAATGCGAGTTATGCTTATCGAAAGAACTAGGATTAGCAGAAACTAAGAACACTTACATCAGGGATGTTTTCTTTGGGTTCTGTAGAAGTTCCTGTTTCATTGTTACCATTCATGTTTTTATCCAAATTAACAGAAGCTTCCATTTTCTTATCATCAGACGACACAGAATCTTTTGAGACACATGCTACTTTGATTCCTTGTAAAAGTTTGTCCAACCACCTATCACGATATGAATCACCGGTCAATGCTTTGAATTTTGCTAAAATGGTTTTGTACTCTGAATCATAACTTGTACAACTTCCTGGTGTCTCTGCTTTCATCTGATGTTCAATTTTTGTTGCATCATCAGATTTTGAGACATCAATAGGGTTCACACCCTTCCTTCTGAGACACCGTCTATTTGCCGACTGATCAGAATTATCAGGAGGCACTTCTTCAGATTCAATATCTTGGAGTTCTCCTAAACGTTCTCGTGTCTTCTGAACAAGAAGATCTATCTCATGTTGTTTTGTGTCCTCGTAATCTTTGTCAGTTAACTTCCAAAGCTTTTTCTCAACAGTGTCATAAACATTTTGCACAATAAAACCTGGAAACTGTTGACGAAGTGGCAGCTTCTTGCTTAAGGGAACAAAATGGACAACACACTTGTGCATCACTGATTCAGCCGGCACTTCATCAAGGTGGAAACTGTAAAAGAGTTGTCTGGTATCCCGTGCTTCCCAGTTTCCACCTCCCTTTTTCTCCGCTTCTTCAGGACGGTAAAACCATTGCCCCGTAACCCACACATTACCATCTACATCTTGTGTAATGTCCTGCTACATAATACTATCAGTTAAAAGAAAATTAAAGTTGACTACCATGACCTCAACCAAAAGATTCTCAGGTAACTTGAGAAGGAAAAAAAAAATGCAGAACTGACAACAATATAACAGATGCAGGCTGATGCTTTTCGATTAAAAAAAGAGGATTCGTGTATAACAGTAAAATACACTTCATCTTGTGTGTGTGTCTCCGAGTTGTGATCAAATGGTGCTGCCATATACACGACAAAAGAGTCAAATCCAGAAAACCAACAGTACCACTCCGACCTAGCAGTTATAGGTGTATTAGGTGTACATGACCTCAAAAAACAATCCAGTGATACAACATAGCCAGAATCAAGAACATGATGGCAAAAATGAATTGTAAGTGCCTCGATAACAATTAACAACTAGCACAGCGCTTTCCCAAAATAAAAACAATGCAGATCACATTTGGCAAATTAAAGGAAAACTGGAACCTAGTGCACAAGGATCCTACTAATGTGGAGTCTAGGAAAAATCAATATATGCATTATTACCTCTGTAAGCAAAGAGATTATTACTATGACTCAAACACTAGTCATGTGGAAAAAAGAGCAGCCTTCACGAGATGCCAAGACTCAACCTCTGTGACAAACTAAAAGGTTCTTTACATTTTTTTAACAACCATTTGAGTTGCCCTTTTTTTCTATTTTTAGAATAAAAGGGTGTCAACATAATCCCAAAAAGGAACTTTAATATTATGAAACCCTGGTTAGCGTCAGCATTTAATCAAGATTTAACATTTTCTTCCATCTTTATAAAATATTGAAAGAAAGGACACAAAGAGATGCAAATAGAAGACACAAAAGGCATACTGATGAAGACAATTTACACAACATTCAGGAATCATGCTTGTAAAAAGTACTATTTTATTACTTTACCCAAATGATTTGGTTACCATCTCTTCTCGAGTGTCTTCTTTCTTTAACATAAGAACATATACTTCAAGGGATAAAGAAGAAGGGTAAGGGGATGAAAAAAGGAAGAGATTAAAGAGAATTTCAAAAGGCGTATTGTTGAATAGAAATCAATACATAAGCCAATGAGTTGCAATCATCATATCTATAAATGGCTAGATTAAAAAGAATCCAATTAGGGACCAAGACTACAATCAGGGCTAACCACACCTTGCCTTGAGCGGCACAAGTTGGTTGGCTCCTCTTCAGACTCCAAAATGATCTCCAACAATAATCCTCTCCTCTCCTTTGTTTCCATCTTCTTTTATTGTATCGACTATCGAATACTAATAAATTTACAGTAAGACAATTATCTATTTTAGTAAATAAAACTTGGTGCTCAACCATTCTATTTCCAAGTTTGTCCAAGAAAAAAAAAAAGAGGCCGTGGCATATCAGATAACAAGAAGAAAAAAGAAGTGCCAGATAACAGCACTTGGTAGAAAGAGGTTAAAAAGATCCATATGTAAGTTACACCAGAGTCGATTTTAATATCTTAACATTACAGGCAAAAATTACAAATAATGCAATAACAAACGGCAATCACTGAGACTTTTCATCGTAGCCCTACAAGTAGGAGAATGCCTGGATTCAATTCTCAATTTCTCATGTGTTAGGATTTGTGTTTCCACATATAATCTCACTTCACATAGTGATTCATTCAGCTTCAAAACCAAAAAGAGTATAAATCACCTTGATGATGGCGACATAAGGCTTTGTCTTGTTATCTTCGGGTGTTAGCAAAACAGGATCCTCCTGCATGCGGTATCAAAGAACCCCAATCTATAATTAGGAACAACAAAACCGAGGCCTCGCAAATAGATGAAATAATCGAAAAGCTTACGAGCTCGAAGACGTTGCCATCGTACTCAAAAGAGGAGTAATGCGTCTTCTTCCTACGCCCCTTCCCGGAAACCCTAACCACGTCCCCAATCGGCTTCGCATCCTCCTGGACCTCCACCGCCGCCGCCTCCTCCTCCTCTTCCTCGTCCTCCCTTTCTTCGACGCGGCCTTTGCCCCCTCTGCTGCTACGGCCGCCGACGCCGCCCTTCTTTGACTGGCTGCTGCTCTGGCCCTCTTCCTCGTCTTCCTCGTCCACTCGAAGCTTCTTCTTCCTCTTGCTCTTCCGGTCGCCGTCCCGGTCCGCATCTTCTCGGCGCCGTGGCTCTTCCTCGTCGTCGTCTGAGACCTGCGCGACCCGGCGCTTCCCCATTCCGATGACCGCTACTGAACGGGAAACGTGAGCTTTGGGCGGGGAACCGGCGATGTGGGGAAAGGGACGATTAAAGGGAAAAGGCCCAAATGTTACAAATATTACAAGTCGCAAGCTTTTTTTTATTTGGTAAACGTACCTGAATTTGACGTGGTAAAGCTACTGCACCTCACACCTGCAACCACACGGACGATACTGCATCTGCGACGACCCTTAAGGGTGAACGAGTGGGTCTTCCTGCGAGTGTGCCTTAAGCGTGAAAAGTATGACGAACTCGGGCGGTGCACGAGTTGACTGAACCGGCGCGAGTCGGTGACCATGATTCACGAAAATGCCACTGGGCAGTACCCTTCTGTCTAAATACAAAGAAGGAACAGGGTCCAAATAAGAATGATTTAACTAATAAGCCTTTAATATGCCCATGCTCCTATTATTATGTTGAATTTATCTTCAAACATAAATATATTTTTAGCTGACCTGACGTTTTTTTTTAATCTTATAGTATCCAAAATCCGAATATTAGATGTGAACTGAAATATATCAAGTTAAACTCTTCGAATAGTTGCCTAGGGAGACCTCTGATTCCCCCATATATATATATATATATATATATATATAAGGGAGCTTCCTGAACTTTAAATATTTTTAAATTATCTCTTTCCATATATATATATATATATATATATATATATATATATATATATATATATATATATATATATATATATATATAATTTAATACTAATAAAAATAAATTTTTTTCACACTCTCAGAAACCTTTTTTTTTCTCTTTTTTTCTTTCCTCTCATTTTTCTTCCCCCCCTCTCTTACTTCTCCTCC